TACGCTTTCTCGGACAATCATTTCTCAGCTTATATAATTATTGAATCCATGGCTAGGACAGCTGCTGAAAAAGTTGGTTCACTGTGTCGTGCGAGACAACATTTATTTCCAGAATTTATCTTACATATCTATAGGTGTAACATTAGTCCATGCTTACAATATTACTGCCATATACGGCCCGGTGTGTCGGCTATTTATCTAGAGCTCCCTGATTAAATCCAAAGAAGAATCAGCAATATGGCGGCTCGGTTTCATTTATTTCCCGCCTCCGCGATCTTGCCTCCCTTTACCTTTTCTATAAATACTTTCATCGAGAGTGTTCGGATTTGAACCTCGGTGTCGTACCTAGATTCTATGAATTTAAACGCAGTATTAAACAGACGTCGAGATCTCAGGAATTTATAGTTGATTTGCATAGATGCAACCGTAAGTTCTACGCTATTAGTTTCTTTTCCAGCACTTCTCACTTGTGAAACTCTTCGAGCTTCATGCTTTCCAATCTTCAAAATTGTAAATGCATTATCAATCGCTATATACTGTCCTCCTGATTTCTCTTCTTTAGTTTTTACCCTTTAGTAAGGTTTCTGTTTGTAATTCTTCCACACCCAGTAACCCCTTGGGTCCTATTGGCTTTATGTTTAGAATAAATTACGATTAAAAATATGATTAAATTCAATGAAAAGGTCAAAAGTGATACATTCAATAAAATACGTGTTATATGTATGTGTGTAAAATGTACGAGAAAGATCTATACAGAATCAAAACGATGTATCTTTGCAGGTTTATATACTAACTCGAAAATGAGATACAATAGGCTAAAATATACTTAATTGTAGCGTGTTAAAGTAAGATAAAAAAGCTGCCTGGCAATTATATGCACAGTTACAGGCTTTCATGATTTGTGCGGCATTATAGTGAACGAAATAAGAAAAGAAAACATTATACAATTAAAGGAATATCATTTTGTCAGCTTTTAATTATAAAAAACCATGAAGTGATAGAAATATTGATAATGAGGAACTTTAATATAGAATAAATGAGTTAAATATAGTTACATTGGTGTGAGAAGCATTTTTACAAACTCAACTTGTTGCTCTTCGTCAAATCATTTCTTTGAAAATTTCTAGCAATATTTCTGATACTTTCTGATATTCAGATACTGTTGTTTGCGCCGGACATATACACCCTTGTGAAAATTAATTGAAACAAAACGAATAATTCCGTTATTATTTATTTTTTTCGTATCTCTCCAATAAAACATGATTCAGTGCCCGTAATAGTACTTCGTATGTCCATTCCACAAAGTTGTTCCATGCAGATTAGCCACAGATTCTCGATTGGATTTAAATCAGGTGTGTCTTTGGCCCCATTCCATAGGACTTTGATTTAATCACAAGCAAGGCTTGCCAGTGTGTTCATGCATCGTGACAATTGATTAAAGCTTCTTTGGAGAAAGGACTATCGAAGACAATGGCCGTAGGACAACTAATCAACAGTTGCGACAATAGTGTAGATGCGGGATGAAATTCTGATGCAATCACGGATGACGTAATAGTTTTAAAGGCCAAACAAATTTCATTATACACACCGAAAATAGATTCATATTACTGCACACCGCTGCAAATGACCTAATCTCAGTCAAAAGAGAAATTTATTACTACCTGTCACGTCAGTTGATGTAAATTTGACCGTATGGTGAACGAAAATAAACTAAAGCGGTTGTTTAAATTAATTTACACAAGGGTGCAGTAGCACTTATGGGCTTAGAAATAATGAAATTATAGATGTCCTGATAACACGAGCTCAGTAGGGTAGGAGGATGTATCGGTCATTTTCCTTTTCTGCTTTCCGGACAAAGACAGTTAAGGATAATGACAGATTACTAGAACGTAGGCGGGGACATTTTAAAGGTAAGGACATTCAAATCGTGCATTCTGCAACAGAAACTCATCTTAATTCACTTGCGCTGGGATTTGCTGACCTTTATGTGCCGTTAGGTTACAAGTTTTCAGTCTATTTGACAAATTAAACAAACTATCAATGGCCCGCGATTATTGATTGTAAAACATTAGATGTCAGGGGTCGAAACTAGATAGGTCTATCATGCAAATTTACTGATTTTGTAAGTACATGACTGTAATAATTTTGCGTTTTAGGAACATGTGTCGTGTCGTTTATCTAAAATGAATTTGCCTACAATATATAAACGACTTAGGACTAAAATCTGCCTCAAATTTTTTTTTCTAAAAAAGACTATGTCAGAAAATTAATTTTCAATGTCTTAAATATAGAAAAACTAACAATTACTTGTTTTGAACATGTTGACTGGGTGTTTGGAAAATCAGTGTATTGTCGACCTTACAATGTCCACTTCCAAAAGTAGCCGTATGAATGATAAGAACTGGACATCATATGATGTTGAATGAGTCCAATAAAGAGGACGGAAAAATATTATATGCCTCCAAGTGCGTGCTTTCATTTGTGTAACTCTTGAAAGATCCAGATCAATTGGATCACTGTGAAGATATTATGGACACTGAAGTGTGTCCATAATAAGATCCGAATATTGTTTTACCTGTTACCCACAAAATATATCAGTAACATCCTATTTTGTTTCGTGAAGTATATAAAGAATTACTCTACTAGCAGATGGTTGGAGACGCGCCATTTTTGCTGGAAGGAATCACTATGGCTACATTGATTTTATACTTACATTTTCAGCAGAATTATTAAACTTGGTTTCATCCTCTGTAATTAATCGAACGAAAACTTGATTATGTTTTTCCTGAAACATAGCCAGAATTTTACGGTAGAAAACCATTCTGCCTCCCTTCCGAATAAGTATGAGAAAACAATAAATTACCGTCGTATGAAAGCGTATATGGATGCTTTTTTTTAGAGACTAAACATTACTCTTCAGTTTCCTGTATAATTAAAAAAAATGATGCAATCTCTAAAGTTCGAAATCTCTACAAATTGGATGTAGACACTCATTAATGCCTGACTGACGACCCACGAAGAGTAGTGAAGGCAATCTTCATCGTGTCTCATTACAAAGTTCGATATTAAATAATCCATCAATGATTCATATGTGGTAAAATAAACCAAAATCCCAAATTCCAAATGCTGACGAAGGGTAATCAGTAACACCAGTTTGTTTCATCCGTCCTATCACATCTAAGACATGCATACGAATATTTAAAATTGTGTTATAACTCGTTTCACCCCCACCAACACACAAAAAATGTGGTGGTTTGCCTTTCAAAAATATTAACTTGATTACATCTCAGTACTGATCTGACTCTATTGGTTCACCTAACTGGTCATTCATCACCTGAAATACAAAACGTTTTTGTACGACAAAACAAACAGAATTATATTCCATTAATAGGGGTCTCTACATCGGCAAGCTCATCTGCCTAGGCTAATTGAAAGTGGAACAGGAATATATTTCATGAATTCTCTTTAAATCTTTGCTAACACAGAGTATGGATCCAGTTATAATATATATATATATATATATATATATATATATATATATATATATATATATATATATATATATATATATATATATATATAGCA